CTGAACATTAGATCATTTTTTTTTCTGAAAGAACACCACCAATGAATCCTAGGCCTCAAGTGACTAGCCACTGTCAAAGCCTTTGCCCGATGTGCCATTAGCAGCAGTCTTTTTTGGGCAAGCGTATAACCTTTCTATCCTGTAGCTGTATTTGAAAACCTTGCCACATACATTTCTTTATGCCCCTCTTACAATCACCCTGGGTCTGTCATGCTGTGCTGTTTTTTTCCCCCAGCCACACTGACCCTCAAAGAAAGCCAGGATCCACTCTCTCTATAAAATGGCTACCATTGTGTTCAGCTGATGGGACAACAAAAAGAAGGCCATGTTTAAGCCCTGAGCCAGAGCTTACACAAAGCTGAGTGCTGTCCCTACACCCAGGTGACAGCACTGGACCAATCATCAAGTACCAGAACGGTCACATGAGATGAAGGGGAGTGATACACAAGCAACTCCATACCCAGAAGTACCATTTTCCCTTGCTTCTGTGGGCTAAATGTATCCAGTCTTCCATTTATATTAGTTTAGAAACACAGAGCAGCCCTACCCTCCTGTCTCCAATCCCGCTGCTTGAACCTCGGTGCCTGGCAAAGCTTCCACCGGATGCCTTCCCTGAACAATAGGTTAAAAAAACGGCACTCGCATGGGGATCAGTCCATCCATTACTTTATTTGCAAAAAGGCATAACGGCAACAAACAAATGCTTACATGTTTCAGCCCCCAAACTAGGCTATGCGACTATGACTACAACTAAGGCCCAGTTTGGGGGCTGAAACATGTAAGCATTTGTTTGCAGTTATGCCTTTTTGCAAATAAAGTACTGGATGGACGGATCCCCTTGCGAGTGCCTTTTTTTTTACCTATAGTATCTACCATTTATATTGCAAGCCCTGCCATGTACCACCCATAAAGTAGAAGTCTATCATCATCATTATACATCTCACTCCTGGGGAAACACAAATGCAGAGTATATAATAGTGTCAAATACATCGTATACACAATTCCCACATCCAGCTGCTCACCTTCTGCTCATAATTGGGCAGCGTGTCTTTATGTATGGTGATTATATCCATGAATGTGTAATTACTGTCTTTGCGGATCTTGGCCAGCTCTGGATCACTTTCATAATTATCGGCATCCAACTGGTGGGGGAAAGAAAATACAGAGAGACATATGTATTGATCTCAGAGGAGCAGAGCAGGAGATCTGAATAAACTCAAATTGGCAAAAATCTATCAAATGGATTTCAAATGTTACCGTAGTCTACAGTTATTTCAGTCATTGCCATTTGAAATATTAGAGGCTCGTGATGTCCATACACACTACAACTGTGATCTGTTTACATAGCCAGGGCCGGCTTTAGGCCTTTAGGCACCCTGTGCGAGAAAGCTTTACAGCGCCCCTCAGTGACCACACCCTTTAGTGGCCACACACACCCATTTTCCCCAATATCCGCACCAATTAAAGACTCACATTTTGTTAAGCCGCAAAGAAACATATTAAAAAGTATGATAAAAATAACACTTTTATTCAAAAGGTATTAAACTTGTCGGCACAATAGAAGTATTCTTATCAAATAAAACAACAGAAGGTAAACAATAAATGTCAAACTACAATAGAGTCTATAAAAATAAAGTGTCCGGTTGTCATGCCGATCCCTTTTTTCAAGTAAGTGCATCTAGAAAAGTAAAAATAAAAAACAGAACACAGACCCCGGGCTACATGTAAAACAATGAATTACTATATGTCCGAATATACGAGAAAATGTATTCAGACACATAATAATAATTTGTTTGAGAATTGCGTGTTCTGTGAATGCGTGCCACCATTTTGGAGGCATGTAAAGCTTCACCTTGCAGTGCCCCCCCTTCTCAGCACTGCAAGGGTTACATGTTCATTTTGTCTAGGGTTTAACCTCTTGCCATCCGCCCGTTAAGAAAAAACGGACGGACGGCTGAAGAGGTCTTACCTATTCTCTACTCCTGCAGGCTTTCTCCTCTCCATACAACCAGTTACTTGAAGCCGCTTTTCTTGTCTGCTTGAGTCTGGGGAATGTTGGAATATGTTTATTCCACTCCCCCTGCACAAAAGAAGAATGTAACCCTTGCAGTGTGGGTGGGGCCCATTGCAGGCCCTTAACGCATGAAAACAAATCCATTTTTTTGGCAGGTGAATCGATTTGATAGATGTGGGGTAACACTGAAAGTTCTTCTAAAGGTGTAATGGCAAGTGGCTAAATATACAGTTAAAATAATTATGTAGACTCACTTTAAGAGTTAAGCAATACTGTGGTGTCACCTTCCCACCCACAGCCTGGTGACTGGACAGTAAAGTAGCAGCAACATTGATAAGTCATCATCCTTTCTAATTCTGCTCTGTCCTCCTTTCAGCATGTTCCCTATTAGCACATGTGCCTGCAGCAGAGGCTGATTGGCTCCTAGTGCTGCCCTCCACTCCTAGTCAGAGTGCTCCTGCACAGGGTATGAAAGAGGCTACTACCAAGACATATTTAGGTACTTATGCTAGATGAATGCAAAGTCCCAGATTACCTTTACTGGTAACAGTATCTCTAGGAATCTTTCAGGACAGGAGCATGAGAGAGTATTGGTTCCTCCTCCTATAGGAAACACAAGCAGAACAGTGAAAAAACCCTTTCACCCCATAAAAGTACCTCCACCAGTGCATGAGGAAAAAATAATAAAAAAAGAAAAAAGGGTAAGAAGTAGTCTTGCAGTTCTGGAAGGTTTGTAGAAATACCACTATGGGTAAGACTAACTGGGGATGTCCCCAATCATCTTCCAGGACAGCAACATGAGAGGAAACGTAAGAAATTAAAAGCCTACAACAGGGCAGGACCACAGCTTCCAGAACCTTTCTGCAAAATGCCAGGTCTGGTTGTGAAAGAAGCTCCTCTCACACCAATCAGAAGGTGGCTCAACCTCCTAAAGTATCCAGCGATATCTACAGTATCTTAGAAGACATCTACATATGTCCAAACAATGGTCTATGGGGCTATAGAATCACCAAAGAATCACCTAAGCCTAGCAGGCAAGAACTTCACCATAAGAAAGGGACAATCCCCTGCCTGCCACTCTGGACTGTCCTAATTGCTCTACCACAGGCGGTATTATGTCATCTCAGCCGGGACAAATCCTTCCTGCAACACTGCCTGGGTGGAAAAAAAAGAGCACCAAGAGTGAACGGGGCATAAAGCATGGGTAAACATATTAATATGGAATTCAGGAGCCAGTCTGTCCAATCCAGGAGCCAGCAGGATTTTGTGGGAGCCAGCTCCATTGACAACAAGTGAAAACCTCAAAAATTGGGCACCAGTTGTAATTTTTAAGGAGCATTGGCGACCTGGCTCCTGAGATTTGTCCAGCCCCTGGCAGTAACTAAGGGCTAAGATCCTGGAAGGAACTTAAATGGAAAGCCTCTGGCTAATAAAAAAAAACAAAAAAAGGCAAGGCAGACCTGCACCTAAAGGGGGACCACTGACCCAATAGCCATCCAATCAGAAGAAAACAGTTGCTTTGCTCCTTGTAGGTAACACAATCTAAGCTGTGGGACGAGGGGGTGGGAGAGGTTTTTCACTATTCTGCTTGTGTTTCCTATGAAGGGAAGAACCAATCCTCTCTTTAGTATTGCTGACCTGGAGATCATTAGGGAAAATTATTTTTTTTACAGGAATATTATTTTGTTATTTATTTAGGATTTATATAAAATTGCCACAAGTTTGCGCAGCACTTTACAATATGAGGAAGACATTACAGTTACAATACAATTCAAGACAAGATGGTAAGGAGGGTCCTGACTGTGAGAGCTTAGGCCCGGTGCAGACCTCTGCGATCCGGGACAATGCAAGCAACGATTGCTGCGCGGCCCCATTGATTTCAATGTGGTGACATTCACGCGGCAATCACAGAAAAAACATACATGTACCTTTTGTTTTTGCAATACACGACGTGTGACTGCTTTAGCCGCGAACGTGTTTGGAAGCCCGGGCGGAATTGCGGCAGAAAACTGTGCGATCTGCCCAGCACGACTGGTGTGCTATTAGAAAATAATGGCACCCACAGCGCGATCGGTTCACACCTTGGCGACTCCTGACCACGCGACAATTCACGCGGAATCGCGTGGTGAGGTGTCGCCTAGGTGTGCACGAGCCCTGACATTCTAAAAGGGAGGGGCAGCTGATACAAAAGCTGGTAGCTGTGTGGGAATGAGCTCTCCGAGAAAGAAACAGTTCAGTGGTTAGTTTGAGGTGGGATAGGCTTCCCCAAAGAGATGAGTTTTCAGGGATTGCCAAAAGGCAGACAGAGTAGGAGATAGTCGGACAGGTAGGGAGTAGGGAGTTAGAGGATGGGGGAGACTCTAGAGAAGTCCTGGGGGCGAGCATGGGAGGAGCTGACAAGGAAGCTAGTAGAAGGAAATCTTGGGAGGAGCGGAGGGGACAGTTGCGGTGATAACTGCATTAAATGGAGTGTTTTTTATCTGCTTGGAGTTCAACACAATAAATTTAAGGAGAGAATATTTCAATTGTTCAGAGAAGTTTCCAAAAGTCATCTTCGCTTCCCACAGGTAATGAAATGTACGACGATTTCTGGTACTGTAACTGAGCAATGCTACAAGAGTTCAAGATCCCATTACCTATGGTTCTACCGTGTTTCCCCATAAATAAGACACTGTCTTACATTTTTTTCCCCCCCCAAAAAAAAAACACACTGGGTCTTATTTTCAGGGGATGTCTTTTTCTTTTATGTGGAACAAAATGGTCAGTATGGGTAATGCTGATCCCTTTCTTTTACAGGTGGAGTGCATCTGGATTCACTCCGCCTGTCAGAGTAACGGCGTTCTAGAGGAAGTATCGGCTAATGCGGCTCTGCTCCCTCCACCGCCGCAGCCTTGCTTTCTACAGCACGGGCTTCCTTTGCCATAAGGGACAGCGGTACCAGCAGTTGGGACATCAGACAGTGGACAGCGAGGGAAAGTACGGTACCATTTACCGGTACACATTACAGTACAGTACCATTACATTAAGCAGTGCCTTCAGGGGGACAGCAGTTTGTGAAGTATGGTACTGGAGTGCTCCCTGTCACTGCGCTGGCCCCTGTCATCCCCTTAATACAGTATGTCCCTGCAGGCTGATTCCATCTCTCCTGCTCTTCAAGTTATCCCTCACATGCTACCATCAAACTAGGTCTTATTTTCGGGGTAGGTCTTATATTACAGGAATCTTGAAAAATAGTGCTAGGTCTTACTTTTGGGGTAGGTCTTATTTTTTGGGGAAACACGGTACTTGGCTGCCTATACTGTACATCCAGCATGAGAAGCAGGACTCGGACTCTGTTGATGAATGAGAATGATATGCAAACATTTGTCATGAAAAGGTGTTACTGACCAAATTCCATCTTGTACAGAAAATCACATCATCAAAAACACGAAGGGAACATAAGCGGCAAATGATGAAGCTGCCACAACACCAGGTAACGTGGAGCCTCGGCTAATGAGCCATCAAAGGCAAATTCATTTATTAAATTTAGCTGTTCACAGTCAATTACTTTACATCCCCAAGCTAAAAAAAAAATAGAAGGTCGCAGTAAATCACAGAGACTTTCCAAACAACACGCACGCTTCTCTCCTGGAGACAGATGTCTCAGATTTGAGAAAATGTTGTGTTTCAGTAATGATATATTGTACACATTTATTCTTCTGCATGGATGATATCCAATTTCTGTAAAGTGTACCTGTCAGCCACTTCAAACATGTAATTTTGTAAATGTTTTTGTCTTCGAGCAGGCACCACAAATGTCCTGCCATTACCTTATTATTAAAGAGAACCTGTACTATCTTCAAAACAAATGGGAAGCAACATGGTTGCTGAACAGAAAATCCTAGGAAAGTCAGCAATTGCATTGGGCTTGTAATGGGTCACCTGGGCACTCTAGGAGGTGGAAGTGTGAATGTGCACCCGTACCTCCAGTGGCAGATCATGAAAGCATGGGAAGTAGGTGCAGGTGCCTTATGGTGTATGGTATCTATGTTACCTTGTCTTAAATGAAGAAAGTACAGGTTCACTTTACCATGGCAGTGTTCATAAATGGGGTCTTTGGATTAAACAGGATACTCAAGAGGTGAAGAA